GAAGAACCCTTGGCATTGATCGCTTTTGAAATACTTTATTGCTCTTGTTTTTGGAAAAAGACATCAAGCACTTCCGTTGGTATTGCTCACACGCTTGTAGCACTAAATCCTTGTAATTATCGCGCAATTCGCCATGCTTACATCCGAACATGATCATTGTTGATCTCGGATGCCATCTTGAACTAGCAGATGGTCCCACCCGTCGTACAAAAAGTGTGTTGACACAAAATGTGACGCCTTGTGCACTTTTACACACAAGCGTCAAAAGCGTGGCTTCAATCGGTGCCCGGTGCTTCCGTGATCCGGAACGTGCCGGTCGGTTTGACTCGAAAGAAACCGACAAGGGATAAAATAAGTTAAATGTCAAACCGGAACATGTCGGGTGAGACCGAACGATTCCGTATATACGCCCTCGAAGCCACTTACAACGACGACATACGACTATAGGAAGTCATGCGCCAACAAGTTTATAAATCATTCTGGCTAATCGTAGGATGGACATACGTAAAGATCTGATTGCCGAATGCATATGCATGGGAAGACATGTTTGAACAAGTGAAATTGATTATGCGTTAATGCATATCCAAGCTCGACAATCCAAATTGAGTTGGGGTCCATGAAGAAGGAACGTGTAGATAAACACGATTAAGCCAATCTAAAACTCAAATCGCCGCCGCGACACCTAGTTTCGTCAAAAACTTAAACGTGATTAACATACATGAACCCACAACATGTGACAATCTAGATTAAATAATTCAACCATTACGAGCATGTTATCTATTTGCAAAGGTATTATGAAAGTAATGATCATTGAAGCTCGAATAAAACCATAGAAGAGGGCGAACAATATCAATCTAGATTGGGCAAAAGTGTGTTACAAATATATAAAATATTTAAAACATGCAACACAGATAACTTGATGAATCTATTTAGATTTTGCCGTAATCTAATAGAGCCGATAACCATCTTTGCTTCCACTAAGCATATTGAGCAAACGCTTTTGCCGCATACGGTATCTACTCATAAACAAAGTATAAGCAAAGACTTCTTGATTGTCAAGCAAAGATCCGCCGCACGATCATTGAAAACAAACAAGACTACTTGCATCACGTCCTAAATCCACCGCATGATACTAAACATGATAACAAGGTTGTCCGGAACTTACGGAGGTCGACGGATCGATGACTCCTCTCGAAGAACTCGGCGACCACGACAAAAGGACTCGAAAGTTGGCACGGGGCGGTTGTATTGATTTGGTTGTGAACGCCTATTACAATGGTCGAGGGTCAATATTTATACCCTAGACGAAACACGAGTCCTAAAAGACTACGATTTTCAAAGGAACTCTTTAAATAAACTTGGAAACTACGATTCCTTGCCCCAAACTCTCAGAGTCCTTTATTATTACAACTTTCATCTTCTCGATCGGCTTTGCTTGCCATCTTCTGCTTTCCCGAATGGAGTTACCGCCTTCCAGAATAACCGACCGCACAAGCATTTAGCCGACCGCTTGCGTTATTTGCCGAACACTCTTCTTCCTGCATGTGGGTCCACCTGTCATCTTCCAGAATTGACCAAAATCCAGTGTTAACACAACTAGGAACATTATTAGAGAAATACATCAGCAGAGGATGCTTTCCTTTGTAACCGCGTCCTACTTACGCCTACAGATGGGAGGTGGACTACAAAGGATCAGCGAAGCTATATAATATAGGCTATATAGAACTAATGTCACACACGCGATCTATCACCATCCGGAATGTAGGATGCATCCACGATTAACCTAAGTCTAAGCACCACGCTTACATTTACGATTAATACTTTAACCTGTAGCGTCTATAGATTAAAGCACTCAAAAGAGAGTCGTGATCCTGATGGATAATATAAACAATTACTTACTTGAATCAGAAGTTGATTACCAGAGAAATCTCGAAGGCAAGCTCAAATAGAACTTGGATCTGCCAAGGTACAAGCCGTAGAGAGAGCACCAATAGGCTGGCACCTCCTCCAAACTCTTTCCTCACTCTCTATCTCACTATTATTTATAAGACTAGATCCTATGGAGAACTAATCTTCTCTTGATAGCTGGCTCTGATCCTCATGATATGAATTAGGGTTTTAGGATGGCTCCAGCGATGGTGGCAGGGGCTGGTATATATAGGCCGGAGCGTCCAACGTGAGCCCTTGATCAAACCGACTTAAAGGACGGCGTAGATGCAACCTAGGAGGCGGTGGAGAACCGACATTGAGACGCGAATGCCAACAGGTGGGCCCAGGGCTGAGCAGCCTACAGGTGGGGCCGGCCGGCCCCAAATGGCAGCCCCTCGGGGTTTGCTTCGGTGGAGAGCCTGCTGGAGTCTTCTAAAATCTTCCCACGCTATTTATACGACGGAATTCCATAATTTCCTTTGACAAATAGGTCCTCCTTGATGGTTTTCTGAATAAACCTTGCTGAAAACACAGATTTAGTCCGTGTTTAGTTGGCTGAAGTTTGGAATTTGGGCTACTGTAGCACTTTCATTTTTATTTGATAATTAGTGTTCAATCATGGACTAATTAGGCTCAAAACGTTCGTCTCGTAATTTCCCACCAAACTGTGCAATTAGTTTTTTTTCGTCTACATTTAATACTCCATGCACGTATCGCAAGATTTGATGTGATGGATACTGTAGCACTTTTTAGGAAATCTTTTTTCAACTAAACACGGCGTTACCATAACTCGTGGAATTTATTAGTTTAAACCCCTATACCTATATTTGGTGATGGAATTAAGTATAAATACATGTTATATTGATGGTTTATAATTGATGTTAGTGATTGTCAAAAAGTTCCCCAAGCTTAACCTTTGCCAGTCACTAAGCAAAGCTAAACTCAGCAATGGATCAGGAGTTGCTATAATATCTTCACGCATCTAAAGTACACATGCGTTCAATCAAAATTTCTCCTCTGGATTAGAATAACCTGATATGACTTTCAAACTTACCCATATTACCTTCAACCATGGGGCTTATTAACCTTCACTTGGGTCTTAAGCAAGTAAAAGACAGAACGATCAAGTCAAGCACTATTTCTCAAGTTATTTGTTCCACCATAATTATGCGACTTGATTGGCAAAGCATGGCCCCGTCTGTTTGTCCGTCCGCTCGCCGCCGGCCTGCCTGCCACGCCCACGCGGTCGGTGGAGGCGCGCGCGTGTGGCACACCAGTGTCAATTTCTCAACTTCTCAATATAGGTGGACAATATCAAACATATAAATTATAAATTGAGTTACCATTCAATCAAAATCCTAAATGGTATTAAACCATAATCAACACATTATTTATTACACGCTATAGAGTTTATTCGATCTATTAAATATTATATCAGCAAGCCCATAATATATGCAACGGTCGCCGGCCGCGGGAATTGCAGCTCGGCGAGGATCGGCAACCGCAGGGGACGCGTACACGACGTCGCTCACGCGCACACACACGCGAACATGAGGAACTCAGAGGCACAGGATTGCGCCGCCAATGTTGCGACCATTTCTATTTTCTTTCTTGCCTTTATTTCACGGTGTTTACACGGTCTACGATCCGAGATCCCCGCCACGCGCGCTCACGCTGCGTCGTGCCCGCCTAAAGCGCAGGAACGTTTCATACGCGACGCGGCGATGGACTCACTGGGCCGCACCGTGAACGCAGCACGGTTCTGCCCTGGACACCGTTACAACATGCAGCTAGCTAGAATGAACAAAACGTAAACATGCACTACCTATTTACAGATATGACTATGCATAACGTGCACGGGATTAACTAACAGCCTACGCCCTCTACTCCCTCGTCTGCCGCCGCAGCCTGCGTGAATGTCTTGACGCCATCTCGCTCGATCGGGACCTCGAGGTTGGGATCGTCAAGATCCAGCAGCAGGTCCAACGTGTCCATGGCGATGAACTCGTCGCCCGCTCGCCGCCGCCGCACGCTGTGCTCGTCCACAACATCGTCCAGGAAACGTTCGAACATCTCTCTGAGGCACCAGGAGTAGGAGTCGTAGAAGAAGCGCCGAACGGCGGAGGCTGGTGGCCCAGCCTCCACTGCCACAACACCTTCTCGACGAGGAACAGCAGCGCCTCGGTGAGCGTGAGGCCGTAGAATGTGTCGAGCGCGGAGTGGCGGTTGACGCGGGGCTCCTCGCTGCCGCCGTAGTGCTGGTAGTCATGTTATATAGCGATCATAGCGACGTTAAAGATTCTTTCCCTTGGTGACTACCAGCTGAATTTTTGAATTTCTACCCATCTCTTGTAGAGTTGTAGTCTTGTTGGTGGCTGCGGAAAAATAACTCCAATTTTCGTTTGTTTCCTATCTGTATCTATCAGATGTGACTTCATCCATTGGATTGTCTGGTGAGCAGACTTATCTACGACAATTCTTCGACACTGAAATCTCAGACTGATGCTGCGTGACTGGTCTGAACTCTGAAATATGAAACCGCTCTTGTTATCATGTTTTGGCAATATATGCACACATGGTGATGGCGAGCACTTCCTTTGTTTCAGCCTTTGAGGTCCGAGAGGGAAGAACAGTGATGTCATTTAACCAGAACAATGGCGGTGACGGCTCCCCTCTATAAATTATCAACGTTCATCTGCGAAATTTCAGGTCCCCATGATAGTCAAACAGTCTTCCACATGACATTTAGATTTTCAAGCTGAGTTCCTTTAGAACCTTCCAAATCAGAAAACCAAAGTACAATATTTCTCACCGATGACTACACTAGTACAGTGAAAATGACACTTGCACAAACAAATTCAGTGCAAACCCAACAATAAAAACGAAAAGTACCATGAAGACAAACTCTCTGGTTCGAGAGAAAAAAAAGACAAACTCTGTGTATCGCATAAATTCCACTCCTATGAAAGTAGTTGCATCAATCCTACTGTCTCACTTGCACCTATCTATAACTTCATCCACTCGATCTTATATATAAATATATACATACCAAGATTCAGAGATTGTGATACTCAATGTCTGGTTTGACCAGGATTAGGATTGTCAACAAAGTATGCAAGCACTCCTACTAACGGAGCATTGATGTAGGTGGTGGGTTCAGACTTCCTGAAATCTGCACGGTCATCCTCATAAGCATCATCCTCCCCCGGCCCGCCGACCACTGCGCCGATCAACGGGTTAGGGTTCGCGCTAGATGAATTGAAGTATGGCGTGCCTTCTTTGCACGCCATCCGTTGAGGATGGTCCTTGATCGAGGGCAACGACGATGCTCGGTGATGGATCCGCTGAGGGTACCGGTCACCGTACCCGATCATATACGACATTTTCAGTGGATTGTCTCCTAACAGGTAATCAACCTGCAGATTTGTATGGACAAATTCGAAATGTTCAGAGCAGATGTCAGCGGTACAAGTAGGTATGGTGAAAAAAGTCAGATGTTACAGTACCTGTTTTTTGGCTTGCAGCTGAAGAGTTAGAGGGCCAACTGAAACGTCTCCACAGTTGACAGTACGAGAGGACTTGGAGAGGTACTTGGCGTAAGTTAGGAGCAGGAAGGAGATGGAGGTGACATGCTGCATGTTGCTGCCTCCAGGCTTGTAGATCATGCCCCCAGGGGTGTACGTGATATGCGGTGAAGACGACTCTGGAATGAGCGTGCATATGAAGCTGTCTGCAAACTCCTTGTAGGACTGCAAAGATAGCGCGTCGCCTTCTATGAATTCCTGCAAACATTTTTCTTGTACCAATCAGTTCTGCACTGCTGATATTTTTCAGCATAATTTGCATTCAGTGATCGAAGGAGATGGATGGAAGCAGCCCGTAACCTTGGAAACAAGGACGTTGAGGCCGGCATGCTTGTTGTCCCACCCGAACTCGTTACTGCTGTCTTCTGCACCCAGGGTCTTGCCATTGTTCTGAATGTACTGGAGGAATGTGTCATCCTTGGAGGCTCTCCTCAGCCATGCTGCCCCCCACAGCAGCTCATCCTGCCAAGGATTTCAGTATGCTTTAAGACATCAGCTTGATCAGTTCTGAACTTCTGTTTGTTCTCAATGTTATCGGCATATATTGTGCATCTTCTTCTGTAAAAATTGGCACACAAAATATATGGAAGCAGCCTTCAATTCTCATCAATTTTATATGAGCATAGGCTTTGTTGAAATGTTGCATGTTGGCCCACACTAGGTACACTCTTCCAATATGCGTTGTATGTTTGGGTGTCAGCAAGTGGAAACTACCTTTTGTTGACATGCTCTGTTGCCACTCATAGTGTGTGTTAGTTTAAGGAATGGGTTATTCGTCATTTTCTGGCTCCTCGCTTTTTTATTTGGTTCGTGGAATGGACTTTATTCCTTGCAAACAAATAATTAGCATAAACATGATAATTTGAGCACCAAAAAATCGTGAAGTGAATTCATGATGCACAACTCATCTAAAAAGTGTTTTTTCAAACCAAACACTCATTTAGACCAAAGTGGATCCATTTACAAATACATGCCGAGCTACCTTTGAAAACTCACAAAAATGTTTTTGGTGGAAACATAATTTATTTTTGGTGACATATCTAGAAGGAGCGTAATAGAATTACATTCCAACAAAAGGTCAGGCGCCACATCTGCAAGAATACAATACAATTTGGCGATGCAACCACATGTCACTCCAGTTTTTTTTTTATATAGAAACGTCACTGCAGTTTAGTTGATTTAGCCTTAATTCAGTAGTTTTGGTAGTTGTTGGCTTCTGGGTCTTTTGTTTGCCCTTTAGCCGGTTTTGCTTCTGCTTTGGGTTTGATATAGTAGTAGTCTTTCGAGTTATTTTTTGTTTCTAAATTTTGTGATGACACGTAAGCAACAGATGAGACCTTGTCAGTTGTCACCAGTTTATGTAGCTCCATTCTCTAGGATTTTTTTGCTGTTCGGTTCTTTATCAAATATGCATGGTTAGTGCTTACAGACACATGGAAATTGTCTGGTGAACTATGAACTACCGATTTCCAACCAACGCTACTGCAACTGCAACACCGCGCGCAGAGGTGCAGAGGTGATGTCGCCATCTGCTCACAGAGGCAAGGAAACGAGACAAGCATCGGACCTGGTAGCCATTGAAGTCGCAGTAGAACGGGCAGCCCCCTGCCCTGAGGTCTGGGTCGTCGCTGTACGCGCCCTTGTACGTGTCCGCGAACTCGAACGCCTTCCTCGCGCTCGTGAGCAGCGTCTCGGCGTACGCCGGGTCGGCATCTCGGAACACCATGGACGCGGCAGCCAATGCCGCCGCCGTCTCCCCCGCGATGTCCGAGCCGGGCCGCCCAGCGCTGACGTTGTACACCGTGCGATCCGTGTCCATGTCCTCCGGCCTCTCCCAGCAGTCGTGATCCTTCCACGGATCGCCCACCTGCATTACCCGTGCACAGCACTCTCAGCAACCCCTGCTCTGCTACGACATGGGTGGAATGAACGTGGCAGATGGCAGTGCAGAACAATGCCGCGCGCGCTTGCCTGCAGGAAGATGACGCCGGGGTGTGCGAGCGTCTTGAGGAGGTAGTCGGTGGCCCAGCGGACGGCGGCGGCGGCGTGGCGGCGCTCGTCGCGCGGCATGGAGTCGCCGAACTCGACGACGCTCCAGGCCAGCATGGTGGTGGTGAACGCCATGGGGAAGCCGAACTTGACGTTGTCGCCGGCGTCGTAGTACCCGCCCTCCAGGTCGACCCCGGCCGCGGCGCCGTCCGACGCGCCGGAGTCCCCGCGCCACGACGCGCGCTGGCCCGGCGGCAGCCGCCCCGAGCGCTGGCCCTCGAAGAAGAGGATGGACTTGGCCAGCGCGTCACGGTAGTCGTGCCGCCCGGCTGCCCAAGGGACGCGGAAGAAGGGCGAAGCCGAGCAGGATGGCACGAGCCACCGCGCCGCGAGCAAGTACGCTAGTAGGATGTGCACACACAAATGGTGGACGGGAGACGAGCGAGGAGCAGAGCAAGGCGCCATTTTTTCCAGCTTGCTGCTTCTACTCACACACACTAGCTCACTGTCACCTGCAGCGCATCTTTGGTGTTTCGGCTCGTATTTATAGGCAGCAACATGTCAAAATGCACATGCTTCCTACTGACAAAATTGTTATACACTGCCCTTTTATCCATGGCACTGGTAACTTCAGCATTGGTGGATTGCATGTACTGATGTACACTAGTACCGCAAACACGCCCCGTTCGGCTTACCTTAAAAACCAGTTTATTCGAGTTTTTTTTCAGCTGAATAGTGTTTTTCTCTTCCAACATTTTAGCTTTGGCTTGTTTTTTCAGCCAATTTCAGTCAAACGAACGGGGCCAAATTGACATGGTCCAGGCCATTTATGCTGTGAGCGTGGCTTCATTCACATTTCACTCGATGTGTTAAGTAGAAACCGCTGGTGATGAGTGCCATCAATAGATATACATGGTTGTAGGGATGGTGTGTATTTTCAGGGTCTGGGGTTTTCTAGGATTTATGGAGGGAATGTGGGATAGTTAAAGGACAAAGGCTGGGGTCACGGGGGTGGTGGTAAGAAGAGGTGAGAGGCCAAAGGATTCTTCAGGGTTCTTGATGGCCTACACGGGCAACCAGCAGCTACGGGCCACGATATGGTCACATGCAGCGGTTAAGATAGCGGATGGAAGAACTAGGCCACTAGTACGTACGTAGGACCATCCTGGTTAGATCCTACGGCTCTGTTTGGATTAAAGGATTTTCAAAGGAAATATAGAGGAATTTATTCCTGTAAAAAGGCTTTACAGTTTGCCGTTTGGAACAAAGGAACAACAGCTTCCATTCCTAAGGAACAGCTCCCTTGCATGAACAAAACACAGGAAAAAAAGAATCCAATCAGTTCTCATGGATTTTCTTCCTTTACTAGGACCGATGTAACAACTCACTCTCCGTCGTTGATTTTGTGCTAACGAAGAGAAAAGAGTGGAGCTTATCCGTGCTATAGCAACAGTAAGAGGAAAAGAGACCTGTGAGTGGACTACAACTGTATTGAACAATGAACCATCATGGTTTGAGTCCATGGGCACCAATGGCCCCACATGCAAGAGAAATATAGACAAACTATGCAATTAACATATTATCGTTAGACACTAATAATGATCTTTATCGTTCATATATTTTGCGATTCCCTTGTTACGAATTCCTGTATTCCAAACACCTCTTCCTTCTATTTCCTGCGTTTTTCCTTTCCTCTGTTTTGCCATACACACCAATCATATTCCTGTAGTTTTTTTCATTCCTCTGTTTTCAGTTCCTTTGTTCCAAACAGGCTCTAAAACTGGCATTGTTCAAGCATGAGAGTAGTACAGATTGGGCTTCATTCAATGATTTTCCAAAGAAAAATGTGGTTTATGTTTTCTTATTGGTATAACTTTTAAGGGAAGCCATATTAGACTTTTGGTTGAAACTCGATTGGTTGGACTAAGTTGTAGCTGTAGTAATGTCCTTGTAGTATTATTGTTTTAGCAATTTAGCCTAACACTAACAAAAATGCCCGTGCGTTGCAACGGAGTCGTTATCAGTTTTTAACTTCTGTCTGACTCGCCTTTCACACTCGGTGATGGTGGCCTCGAGCTCGTCATACGGTTGACGGGGTCACGGGGACAACGACAGTGCAGATGGCTATGGAGGAGGCGGAGGCGCATCGAAGGTGCGTCCGAGGTAAACTGGACGGGGATCCCATTTGGTGGCTGTAACAGAGTTAGGCCCCCCTCACCTGCCAAGGATAGGGTTAGGGGACTTGCTCGCTACATTTTTTATCGAATATTGCAAGAAGGATATAGGTAAGGCGTCGATTTTTTCGGAGATAGAGCACAAAGACTACGGGAGAGGAGGCCAATGGATACACATAGTTGTTAGGAAGGGACCAGTAAATCCCTTGATTAACGGTTTGCTTAGTCCACTCGATCGAACCGCTGGTATAGTATGGTTAATAGAGTCAAAATTTTATACTTGATACAAACCAACTACATGGTGTAGTGGAAAAGGATGAGTTTCGTAACCTACAGGTTGTGAGTTTGATTCCTCTCTGTACGCTTTTTTTCTTCTATTATATTTCCTCTAATTTGTCTTTCATGTGCACAACCTCCTCATTATTCTATTTCCTCCAATTTTATCCTTCATGTGCACAACCTACACAGGCCAGACTTGAATTCTGAAGAGGGACGTGTGAATGAATCGTGGTCATCGTAGTGAGGTGCGCCGCCGAGAGCCCGTTGTGCATGGGCGGCGCGAGCCGCGTGGGTGAAGCCCTACCGCGAAGTGTGGGCGGCACGAGCTGTGACAGAACCGCCCAATTTATACAAGATCAAGTACGACTGTCCCCGCTAACACGTTGACACACACATACTTTCACTTATATAAATCCGGTAGTCCGCCGAGTGTCACGAAGGACCTCGGTAAATCAACATCACAACCAAGATCGCGTGATTAAGCAAATACACATCACATACGCAGAGTTGCAGCGGAAATAATATTACAATTGGGTTCACAAATAATAGTACAAGTTTGGGTTTTAAAACCGATTAGAGAAAACAAAATAGCTTTCAAATGATTACATTAATATAAGTTCCAAATACATTGCTAGCATAAGTGACATCCTTAGACAAAAGCATATAGATGAGAAGTAAATATAGAATCACCGAGCCCACCAGCGGTTGGCCACCATCATCAACAGGTCGAGAACTTCACCTGCAACAAGGTGGAATAAACCCTGAGTACTCGAATGTACTCAACCAGACTTACCCGTCGTAAACCAGAAATAAAGTGACACCAAGGATTATGCAAGGCTTTCTTTAGTGGGCTAGTTGACTCGTTTGCGAAAAGCATATGTTATCATGAATAAACCATTTTAAGTACTTTGCATCATCTTTATTATAACCTATCCATCTAGGTAAGCACCTGTACTATAGCAATCACTTGATTAACCAATAACATTCAGTTACCAATTTAGATTTAGCATATCCCATATCATCCAGATAACCATCATTGTTCCATAATAATTACTACGATGAAGTAACTCGAGTCAAGTGCTCACTATCCAGGAGCGATGGCGATTCGAATCGATTCCTAACCAGCTGGTGATTTATTCCTTACACAAACCTCACTCACCCGCTAAAGTGAGATATTAATCACCGAGTCAACTATCCAGGAATCTCGAGTTTGTCAGGAACCACATGTACCCGGGGGCCGACCGACTGCACTTTGGTCTTATCATCTCGCCCCCGTGTCCTACCACACCTGCTCCGGCACAGTGCGCTGCGGGCAATCTACTCGGCCCGAATAATCTCCCAGCTTCGCGGTCGGAAGGTACTTTATCTGGCCAGCTAAATGTAAGGCATGCATTCAACATGACTCGAGGCCCAACAACGGACGGTCCTTAATCGACACAGACGGAAACTAACAGCACCCCAGAACCCTGTCTGGTTGCCTCCAACTTTTTCGTCCGGTCTCCAATTATCCATCACACATGGTTAATTCCAGGATATCATTCTTTCCATAGCTAAATTCTTCCAGTAACCACCTATAAATGTAGGTGACCGGATATCACCGATCGCTATCGGTCTAAGCAAGGCTATGCAGTTATTCGATCCTGACCTAACAGGGTAAAAGGGTAATAAGGTAGGCAAGGATAGTAATAAATGCATCAATGGTTTCGATCAACTCCTACAACTTAATGCAACAATATATAACTCATATATAGAAAGAATTGCTTTTATAAATTAGGAGACTTATAATGCTCCGGGGCTTGCCTGGGATCCGACACAAGTCAGTTCAGTTAGTTTGCACCGTCCTGGTGACGTCTCAGGTCCTAGCATTCGCTTAGTCCTTCCATCTTCGGGATAGATCCTCCATACATCGTCTTCGGGTTCGGCTCCAACATCATGTTCTTCACGTGGTTCATCTAGCGCACCTAGATGAGATGCCAGATGCATGTGTATGAATGTGATGAATGGTAACACAAGATGCATCACATAAGCATACAAGACAAACAAGTTATTATGCAAGACATAGACACCAATAACTATTTAACTAACATCACACCACTAACTATAGAGAGCAAGCACATTAAGCATGGCACAAGTTTCCTAAGATCTCAGGTGCTCTAACTCAGTCATCATTCAAGGCATAAGTTACACTTAACAATATACAAGCAAACACTATAATTGAAATATGCCAATTTCTGGACCTGCAAACAGCAGCTACAAGATTTAGCTATAACTGGAGTTACACAAATCCAAATGACTTGCAAGAAGACATTCTAGAAAGCTTATGAAATTTTCTACAATTCATCTTTAATCATCTTAGTATGATTCTCAAGTTAACTAAGTCAAATATATCCATTTACAGAAACTGGTCCACAATTGACAGAAAGCAGCCATTTCTGAAACCCAACTTTAAACAGCTGTAACTCTTAAACTACTTGGCCAAATGACACCAAATTTTAATAGAAGCTAGATACATGAATTATCTACAACTTTTGTGTAAACAAGTTTCACAACAAAGCATATTATCATGAAGAACTTTGCTAAGTTCCTAGATCTGTCCAAAAACCACATTTGCAAGAAAATAAATATTAACTTATGTTGCAAACACATAATTAGGCAAAACCAACTTTACCAACATTTCCCACATGACTAAAGAACACCAGAAAACCTAGTGTCCATGACCAATTAAATTCTTTTAATGCATTTCTTAATTTATTTTAGATAACAAGGTGACTTAATGAACATATACCAAAAGTATATAATAAATTCTACAAAAATTACAGTGGCTCACATATCCTATCAATAGTCTACTGTACAAATTTCACTCCATTTGAATATGTATAGCAACCTCTATGAAAAAGACAAGTTGCTAAAGCAAGAAATCACGTGAGAGCAAGATAAACCAATAACTCACTCATACTTCATCCAATACTCATGAAATTTTTATCACACATCAACTATCACATGGGTAGCATG